AGGATAGAGGGGTTTATAATTTTTATCTGTATTACAATCTCATGTGAAAACGTTCAAAAGTTAAGTTGTAGGATGTAGTGCACTGTAAATTTCTACAGTACTTGAAACCACGATGACTTTTCGACCTAGGCTACCTGAATTCCAAGAGATTAAATGTCTATCGGTTGATTTTAAAGTTTTTTTTTCTTTTTACCATTTATATACACACTGTGAAATCATCTTACGACCATAAGTGGTAGATATCCTCTAGACAAAGTTCTAACCCCATAAAATACCTATCATTTTTTCTAGTTGGGTTAAGCTATTGAGAGATATGAACTCCAAACCCCGTGTCAAAGCATTATCACATTGCTTAAAGGCTTTAGTGATTGGCGGGATTTTAACACAAGACCTTTGGGGTGGAAGTGTAGTAATTTAACCAGACGAACCATGCTTTACAATATAGTAATACTAGCTGACCCGGCGAACTTCGTATCGCCTAAGTTATAGGTTTCCCCTAAGACAGACCGATGGAAAGAAAGTACCGTTACGTTTAATTTTCAAGATGATCTCGTTCGCATCGCTCAATCACGTCCTGGTTGAAGTTCGTTCGCTACGTTCACTCACCTTTTGGTTGCAAATTAGCTGTTGTCATAAATGTAAAAGAAATAATAGTGCTGCACCCTGTTGGTAATCCTTGTAACTTTAATGCTATTGAACATCATAGAACAGAACCAACTTGTTTAATTGAAACAGCTGTTAAGATTCATTAATTCCATTTCTCATAAGGTTAACATGGGAAACTCCAGAGCCACTGGGGCGGAGCCCTTTTAAGAATTTCGAAACGGGAAATAGTTTACGTCCGATTCGCATACCTACAGAATTTACACACCAAATTTCATAACGATCGGTGAAGTCGTTCCGGAGGAGTTTGCAGACAAACACTGTGACACGAGAATTTTATATATTAGAAATATTATCCCGCTACAGCAAAATGACTCATAATTTACAGCAAATTTCGCCAAAGGTGGCAATACTCAAACATTCACAAAAAAATAATTTTGAAAAAAATGAGAAATTCTCAGTGTACAACAATTTATACTACACAAGACGTAAGCGTACACGGTACATTAGTTGCTTAATCGGCCAAACTTTGGAGGAATTCGCTCAAAAGACAACTATACAGAGCCAAGTCGGTCTCGGTCTTTGTGCCGGAGGAATCTAATTTTCCTTGCGATTGAAGGGGTAAGCGCGATCGGGAGGGGTAAAGGAACCACAACATGTATTGTTGAAAACTCTCTGGAGCGTGTGATTTGATTATACAGGAGGAGGCTTTGGTGAAAACAATAAGAACACCTGGGTGATGGAGCTTAGACAGGTGAATATAACACTGGATTATCTGGACACCCTGTAGAGGCAAAATCGGGGACGTCACACGAAATGAGGGGTGTAATGGTGTTTACTTTGGCAGTCCACCCGCCCCCTGCCAATAAGCTGATAATGGGAGTTTCTAAATAAACTAGATCAACCCTCACATGGTTTAGGCTGAGCGAGTAGTTTAGTAGGAGAACCTTCTCCTCGTCTGAGAGATATCCTGTTGGTTGTCCTCTAAATCCTACGGGTGGTGACATTATCGTTATTTAAACATCATTATTGTTTTTTATCATGAAGAATTGAATGATGGATGTCAGATCAGAAGGTTTCGCGTTCTAAAAACTAGATAAACGTTGTTATACCCGGTTACAGTAGAAGGAAATCCTACTCTTTGCCAAACTCATAAAGTTCATGAGTTCTTAGAATTAAATGGGAAATTTAGTGTGTATTTTGTAGTACGCTTCATCTTTGAAATACAATTAAAAGTTACTCGATGTATTGTAAGATAGAAGTAAATTTCTTTTTACACTTGTGATTACTAATTTAACAACATTCTCAATATGTTGTACAGTAATACTTTTAGTGCAATTGCGACTTTTCTAGCATACGTAGGCAACTAAAATATGCCCAAACCGAGAAATGAATTTGGTATGGATGCCATTAGTAGTGTAGAATAAAACTTATTAGTTTCGATAACAAAGAATAGACAAAGAAAAGTAGTTAGGCAAATCTACAAAAGGATGTTTGGATTTAAGAAATTTGGTCAAATGAAAACTCGAATTTTTATCCAGTCAATATTGTAGCTCTAAGGTGTTCAGAATCAAATAGGAAGACATGATCGATGTACATTTAAATTATACAAATAACAAAACCTAATATTTATGTTTATTTTTATAAGCGTCTCAGCCGGTCCCATACTAACTCCCTGAAAGAGGCGGGATATAAGCAGTAAACCAGGCGAGGTTATGTCCCGGGTTATGCGGCCTCAGTCTGTGTTTCATGTGGCTGTAAAGACGTAAGGTTACAGCGGGTCTCATTATCAGCAACCCTCCCACATCTCCCGCCAAAACTGCGCTATCATTCCCGCGTTTTGCCTCGCCTCTTCACCTTGAATTTTACTGCGCGTTCTTAAGGCTTACCGTCTGAATATATCACCATGTAAGAAAGAGTGGGTTTGAGATTTTACTACCTTTGTGGAAAAACTATGGTAACTTTCTTAATATTGGGTTTTATTTGTTGTTTTGGGGTGTCAATGTCAATGTGAAATGCATAATTGATTGGGTGGCAGAGCTGTGAAGTACTTGTTTTCAAATATGAAGGTTGTCAGATTTCTTCCAGAAAATATTTACAATAAATTAAACATCCACTGCCACTGAGTTGTCAAATATTATGGGAGTTTTTTTTACCCACAAAGACTTGTTACAGACCAAAAACTAAAATACTCTGATTATTGGAAGAAACCCCTGCTTTTCTGAGAAAAACCTGGACACTCATGGGACTTCTTACTGTTGATTTATATACACAATTATTTTAAATTGTAATTATTACGATAGGATTTACTAAATGCTAAAATCTTTTAAGATTACTCTTGGCTTTGTTTCATAAATGTTGAATCATTTTACACGTATCAAACGCTAAAAATATACAGTTTGATTTTTCATCCTTGTAAATTTCCCAGTTGTCATTTTAGGAATCAGAAATTTTTAAATTTTAATTTACCAAAATTGTTGAGTTTAGCTAATAGGAAATATTATTTGAATAAAAAAACTAAATTAGAATTCATTGTACCTTGGACCATAGATAAAAGGAGTGTCTATACTCCTTTTATCTATGCTTGGACACATTTGAATTAAGCAATGTATGTTATTTGAACACGGCTAATTTTCAAAACACAACTGCAATATTTGCAGATTTTCCCAAGGGTATTGTAAATAAGACACGATACAAGCACATATGTAGGGGGAGTGACGGAAATGTTAGACATAAGGGCGCTGCTCTTGTAGCTAATTGATATACACCAGCGGGCATATTGAAACTGTTCTGTATCCAGGATATACAACACACATATACCCTGGAGTGCTCAGAAAGGAGTTTTTACGTTATGTTTATGTGAGTGAATCGGCTACAAAAAATCTTTTTATAAATTATAATAGTTAACTTTAAAAAGTTCAGAATTCTGGTATTTTTACAATTGACGACAAGTTGTTGTTGAGATGCATAATAGCATGCAAAGGAATGAAAACTGGGTACAGCAAAACACACAAACACACTGTGTTTGCATAGATCAAACTGTGGATATTTATGCAGGCATGATCTGTGGACGTGATACTCCCTGGCGTGGATTAACGTCTGCACTAGTGAGTACTATGACTGTCTGTAGTAGTACGCAGTACTATCCTGATAATTAGACCAATCCGTAAATTACAAGGCAAAAATGTGCTACGGATTCCACTATAAACTGATGGCCCCTTGGCTGTATGCACTAATTAACACGTACTGTTATGTCGGCATTAGTCACTAACAAGACTACAAGATCGCGTTTCATACTTGGCTTGAAATACCTACTTTCGTATGGTCGCCATTTCAATTAAAACTAAAAGTATTTAAGTATTTAAGATTAATATTCTACTCCAAGCAAAGCTTGCCCACCAAGTGCTTAACTTGAAATTTGATATATTCTAAGAGTAGTTTCCACTCATCACTAATTGTCATCTGTGCGAATTTCCCGCCGTCACCAACACATGTTGGCTTCCACTCAGCTGATTACCTCGTATCTGGCGAGAAAACGACACGTGAAATCGGCTAATCAGCTGTTTAGGTTCTCAGCTGCGTGGCCACAGATAAGGCAAAGTGGAGAGGATAATTCAACACGCGCTGATCATTGTAAACAATTTATTTACATGACTGGAGACACATGAAGCGAGTAATAACTAACACACATATACCTAAATTACAAAACAAAATTATTTCAGCCTTGTCCATACACTCAAAGTTTCAAACTGCAGTTTAGAGGTCAATGAAATACAAATTATTACAGTGGATTTTGTTGCGTTGTATTACCCACCTTAACGTGCTTTGGTTATTGTTGATAAATAGTATGCAGTTACATGTGTTTTTAATTTTTTGATTGTTCGTAAATTATATTCAAAACCCCATATAGATGTGGTTGAAAACGAGAACTGAAAATACAGGTTATGTTTTATTTATGCAATGGGATGAATGAATAAATCTATTAATCAATGGCTCTAATGGTCACTTTTTAAACTCTGAATGATATTGTTTAATTTTTTTACCAATAAATATGTTTGGAGATTTTAAATATATTTTTTAAATTCATTTTACTTAATCCATTATACATTACAATTTTTCCTATGACAAATAATGTACAAACAATAATTTAATTTAAGTTTAGGGTGAAATTTCGCTCTTAATGAAAATTCGTTGCAGATTTTTATTGATTTTGGTGTAATGTAATATTTGGTTGATTAATAATTTTTTAACATTGAAAATAACATATTTGACAAAAGTAATGTAAGAAATAGCCTCTTAACTAGATCCAAATGTACATAAATTTTGTTTTGTGGAAGGAAATGAGATAATAAATTTTAAAAATCACAACAAATAATTTTAAACATGCCCAAACTAGAAAATCTTACACATGTAACTCGTTCACTTATTCACAGCTTTTTGTAATAGTTGCATTACATACATCCACTACTAGACTTTTCCTACACTTATTCAGGTGTGATGTGGGGGGGAATGTGATGGGGGTAAATTAAGGGGGGCTCGGAGGGGGACGGGGCGACAGATCGTCTGTTATGGCACACCCTGTCATTGCTCGATGCCTGAGTCTTCGCCACAGAAGTAGGAGGTCTGCATGGAGTACAGCCTGTCTATGGGGTTGATGGGCAGACCACCTGCTTGGTGGAGGAACCCCATGGCCTCTGGTGGATTCTGAGGAAACCCGAGGAACCCTGGCTCCATTTTGTGGACTACGTTATCTGTAAAAGGCAAATCATAACTAGCACTGTGTCAAAATTTACAATTGTGAGTGTAGAATATGCTGTTTGAGCTTTATGAAGATTATAATAGTAAATAAATGATAATGGTTAGATGAAGAATAGTTAAATTGCAAACGATACACATACATAGATAACAAAACGCTTATAAAACGACTCTTGACTAAGAACGACTCATGAGTCTGTAAAAGAATGAATCCTGATTAATAGACCTGTCTGAGACTCTACGGTAAGAGACTCGTAAGTTAGTGGTAACGACTCCTGACTTAGAGTCTAGTGCAAAAGAACAGCTCCTGAGAAGAGTCTTGTTCGAGAACCACGGACGTAGAGTTTTTTTCTATGGGAATGACTTCTGACAGAGAGTATGTTGTGAGAGAACGACTCCTTTTTTTAATCTGGCGTGAGTGAGAGCAGGAGTAATTCATCTCAGTGATTCCGTCTTCTCTGATATTGTCTATTCTAAAAACATCCTGCACCATTAAAAACTGAGATGATTCTATGACATGAATGATATTGGATTTATTAAACTTATTTATGTATATTCCGGCGCGGCAAAGTCATGTTTATTTAAAAATTCTTTTCAATAGATCTTTAAGAACTGGCTATTGTTCCATCGTAGTTTGTTGACGTCCGAATCAAATTGCAAACCCCCCTGACATTAAATTGTGAACACCCCTGACATCAAATTGCAAACCCCCCTGACGTCAAATTGCGAACACCCCTGACATCAAATTGTGAACACCCCTGACATCAAATTGCAAACCCCCCTGACGTCAAATTGTGAACACCCCTGACATCAAATTGCAAACACTATAACCCCTCTGACACCATACGGGATCATCCTGACACCTATGATATTGGGTTTAACTTATTCTAGAGCTATATTTAGACATCCCTTTAGCTAGGGATGAAACATATCTATACAGGAATAAAGTAGTTGACTAGGTTTTTAGTTTATCTATTTATTTGTGTTTACCAACTCCAGTGTGATTGTTCACGGTTGTTTGTAATGGAACGGTTTAAACAATTAATCGCTCACAAACTTGGTCCAGAAACTATTTATTTATTTGAAATTTCATCATTTTATATGAACGAATATATATTTTAAATGTCAAAACATAATGTCTTCATAATTACTGAAAAAAGTACGTTGATAAAAATCAAATACATCAAAACCCCATCAAACTTTCACCTATAAAATACACGCTTCCCAAGTGGATGCCAAAACACGTCTCCCCAAGCTCCTAATGGAAAGTTCGTTTGGTAATACAGTTTTACACCATGATCAACCCCCCCCCCTCCACCGCCCCTTCCCTATATGAATAAGAAGCAGACAAGTCACGCTCCTGATTTCCATTTTAAAGTCGTGTACCATTAAAGCGGCGTAATAGAGGCCTCCGCGTTAAAGACGTTGCATCCCCTACCAGGGTGAGGGGGAGGGGTGGGGGGAGGATTCGATGTTTTGATTCGTCCGCGGATCATTCGCTCGATATAGCGGGGTTAAGGTTTTTATCCGCGAGAACATAACAATCACCGGACTACAAACAGCTGCCCCTAGCGTTGGTGGAAACGAGGGGAAATTGTATTTTGGTTTTTGTTTTCACGGAGAGTTTTTCGTTGAAAAGTTGGTAGGGGGAAATCAACCGTTTATGTTGTTATAAGTTAGTTTTGTAATTGCGGATTTGGTTTGTTTCGTTTTTTGTTGAAATGGTGGATACGTTAGTTCTTTATTCTTAATTATAAGTCTGCAGAAAAAAATCGGACCGGGTTATGAAACATAAATTTTTTTACATTCTCCTTAATATTTGTTTCCTTTGTATAAAGCTTAAGCAGGTCACTATGGTTTAGGTTCAGTTTAAAGACCGGAGAAAACTATGCGGTATTATAATCACTAACTAAGATTGTTACAAACAATTTTAGTTTTAGTAGGTAGGGCGTTTCTACTCTTTGGGTAACTACGCTAGGTCATGTTTGAAAAAATATGGTTTGTTCAGGTGATAACTAAGTTCAAGCTAGGATTTTAGAAAACCCCCTCACAAAGCGGAAAACTGCAATTTAACTAAGGTATTCTAGTTTTATGGTGGATTAGATTAAATTTTGTTAGGCTACTTTTGGTTTGGTTTTAGGCTTGACTGTGCAAACCTTAACCAGCAGTGAAACCTCGTCTGAGTATCTACCACAATGTTATAGAAGGTCATTCAGTTACAACAAAGAACTTTTACATAAAGAAAATGCCTTATAATGTTAGGTTAGGTTATTCCAGTCTAAGTTAGACAAGGTTTGGTTAGGCTAGACGATATCACCCCCACCAACAGTGAAATCTCCTTCCTTTAGGTCCCAAATATCGTGTTGCACAATTCAACCCCTTTACAACCAAGAACTTTGTATAATTTTAGATGAAGCCTATTAATGTTAGGTCGTTTTAGGCTCGATTACGTTAGATTAGGCTAGACTTTGTATTCTAGGTATATGTTCGACTATATCTCTTACTCGATAAACTCTCGTCACTATCCATACAGTAATTTTGCGGAAGACCGTCCAGTAGCAGCCTAGAAACTCTCTTACCATTTGAGATAATTTTGCTTTAGGTTAAGTTAGGTTAGGTTAGGTTTAGTCTCGACTATATCTCTTACCAGCAGTGATAAACTCTCGTCTAGCTATCCACACAGTAATTTTGCAGAATACCATCCAGTAGCAGCCTAGAAACTGTCTTTCCATTTGAGATAATTTTACATTAGGATAGGTTAGGTTAGGTTAGGTTTAGTCTCGACTACTGACCAGCAGTGATGAACTCTCTCGGCTGACTCTGCAGCATAGTCTTGTAGAAGGCCACCTCGTCATGGTCCAGCTCTCTCTTGATGGACATCTCAGATGGTGCCGCCCCCGGGACCCCGCCGCCCATGCCGCCTCCACCGCCGCCCAGACCTAGCTCTGAGTCCGAACAACTGTCTGTCATGAAAGTCATACCAGCCATGCCTGGACCTATAACAGGACATTAACGTATTTAATATCATAGAAATAATATGTTTGCTGACATTATGTAGTCCAGTTTTAATTATCGAGAAGAACAGGTGCAGATGATAATATTTGTAATACAGATTTTATTTCGTTGAAATTGTCCAGTTTTCTGAGTGTAAATAGTGGTTAGGAAAAAGTGCTTGTTGAGAGAAAAGAGTTAAGGGAAAAGTTCTAAGAAAGGAAACGTTTGGGGGACAAGTACTGGAGGGTCAGTTTTGAGATAAAGGAGTTGGAAGGAAAGTGTTGAAGTATACACAATTTGAAAGAAAAGTGTTGGGGGTGAGTTTTTAGGTACAAGTTTTGGGGGAGGTGATGACTTATTGCACAATTTTTTTTATCTGTTGGAGAAATTGTGTGTGGGCAAACATGTCGTCAAACAGTTCTTTAGCAGCAAATTACTAACAATTTCAAAATCATGGTATTATACGTTATTGAAGTAGGTTATATTCAGTTGTATTCGATAATACAATATCTAATAACGACATATAAATTGGTACAGATAAAATAAATATAATTCCTCCGTTACAGGTGTTTCTGCATAGTTATGAAATGGAAATGAATAAAATTCTCCAAAACGTATGGTAAATTGTCCATGGCTGGAAAAGAGACATTTCTCGCGTTCAATAATCTCCCTGGCTCGCCTTCGATTAAATTATAAAAATTTTAGATTACGAAATAAAAATTAGTACTAAACCATAGGTACCTATTTGTCCAAATATTAATAAACAGGTCCATATTATATTATATCATAGGTGGAACAATATTTTAATCTGGAAAAAGATTGCAGTATAAAAACCCAGAGGTACAAACAATCATAAACAATTGCATTGAGGGATCAAATAACTTACAACGCATAAATGTATGCATATTGTGTAATTATTTACGATATAGCATATGGAATTACTTTGTAATTTGTATTTCACAGTAATATAATGCTCTTTTAATGTTAACATAGCGTTCAATGTTTACATTACTTTATAGCTTTTACGCATTCACGAAAATTCAACAGTTTCTCATCGATTCTCCAAACTACTTTTCCATTTTTCGGTGTTGTGAATTTTAAATCATTTATCGTTTCATCTAGTAAAATAATTATGCATTTGAACTTATTTGATATGTTTATAGTTCTATGTAAAACAATAACATTATATAATAACAATAACATTATATACATAACGTTAATCCCTTCAAAAGTTTTCCAAAATTCAAACATATTTATCGTTTGGTGACCCAAAAAGGATTTCCAATAAGATTTCGATCCGAGCAGTTGTCTTTTATTAATATAAATTGAGGACGTCTAAATTTCCTTTTACGTAAAATGAGGAGAGGGATCTATTGTTACAATTTTATCATCTAACCTCTCCTAAAAAGATGAATTATCTGCTAAGCAGAGTGAAAACAGTGCTAGCCTTCGTACTTAAGTTTGCTGGTTTACTCACAAGCTAGATAAATACAAGACTCGGGTGCCATTTTGTCATTTGGATATCAAGTAATTATGGTATCTAACAAAGATCGACACCCCCCAACAAAACACACACAAAAACACAAGCCCTTACGAAAAAAGTTAACTTTTGACATTTTGTGATGTCAAAACAACATTTACTTGCACGTCATAAAGTAATTCAGTGAAACAGTTCTACTGTATTTATATTTTAGAATCTTCTGTTTCCTATTTAGATACAAGATTCTATCAATAAACAAAGTTTGAGAAAGTGAATACTTGGCAGTCGTGGGACGTACAAACTGGTCCGGAAACGCGTAGACAGGGGTGAGGGGGTGATGGTCGGGGGAAAGGGGGCGTCGCTATGGTAACCCCCCCAACACCGGACCCACGAAAACAAACAGCTAAGGTCGCGTTGTGAGAAAACTAAGAAAATGGCGGCCAAGTACTATCGACATCTTCGGCACCGACGCCTTTCATCTGCCAAGTCGATTGTGAAAAGAGTATTTTGGGAAAGTATGATTTTATGAGATATTATATGTGTAAAATGCCATTTAGCTGTTGACTCTTTGAAGTTGTATCATGGAATAAGCTAAGGTTAATTTACAGTTGCGCGTGTATAAAAGAGACAAATATTGAGTAGTTTCACTTATTTAATGTTTGTTTTGTTGTAAATTCGATTATTATGATGTATTCGTCCAGCGTGTTTCAATTTAAATTCCTAAGTTGGCTTAGTAGATTCATTTTTACTCTGAGTTGTATTCCTACAAATAATAATGATAATTTATACTTTACTAACTGTCATGACTAATTCTTTGGTTGCTGAGAGTAGGAGAATGCGTGTAAATATAAATACAAAATCCAGTATCACCTCTGGATTGCAAATAAATATAATCCATCTATGTTTCGCTCTTAAAAATAACATTAAGAAAGCGTAAACTAAACAATCTAAAGTTTTCTATCGTCATGTTAGTATCCGTTTCAGGCGCTGATAGGCAAAAGTGACACAGCGCTTGTTTTGCGTTTTGTATTTGTACGGCGCGGCGCGGAGTCAAGCGCACATTTAAAACACAACAAACGTCTTAACTCATTGCAACGTCATAATACGAAGGATTTGAGGATCCAAACTCCCAAAATGTGAAATTTTACTTGACATTTGCTTCAGCGTATTTTTCCAGGGAAGTAGGGACAGACCATTGGTACCGTAGGCACGACAAATTTCATAATATTACTTACGTTTGTATTAGATTTTCCGTTTAATAAGTTTGCTAACCATACCAATTTTATTGAAAGGTAAAACTGTACGTTGTTTTCGTATTTAATAACCAGGCTTTAGAAACAAATTTGCTTAACTTAAAGACATTTTTATTAGGTATTCATGTTCCAAATAGGTTTTTAATTATTATATTTACATTGAATTAATTCTTCTCATTCACAAGTAATCTCTAAGCAGAATTATATAATTACTCTTAAAAAAACTTCCTTTTTTCTTGTTACAGTATCATGGATTGATTTTAATACAAAATCAGCCGAGAGTTTACTTGTTTTGCAGGTTTGCCGCAACTTAAGTGTATGAGTTTATTTCGTCAACTTTTACTCACTGTGGTCTTCTTCTTTCATCTTGATCTTGTCACCCTTCTCATCTGAACAGTCTCCGTCTTTGTTGTTGTTCTTCTGGTCGAGTCTCTGCTTTTTCTGAATCTTTTTCATCTTTGCTCTTTGATTTTGAAACCACACCTGCAAAACATTCAGCATCAGAAGATGGGCACATTTTTCAAAATATTGTATCGAAAATGAATTACAACAGCTGAATTAAATTACGTTGGATTAGATATTGAGTTTTAAATGTTCATATACTTAAAAAATTTGCATTATTCCAACGTAGGATACAGTTTAAAATCTTCTTTTTTCATATTAACATTTCCTCCTCCAGGTTAAATTTTGTTATGATATATTTCAACGTTTGAAAACGCATTTTACTTCAACAGATTCTATAGCGGTCATTTATCCAAACGATTACTCACTAGCATAACTGAAGTCGAGCCTACCATAGCTATTTTAGTGTTCATTTAGGGTCAAACAAAATATAAAACACTATGGTTCTCAATTGAATTGTTACTCAATTACAAAACACTAACACATTAAGAAGTTTTAACTTGTTAAATCCCTGTATACAGCTATGAAATATCAATTTTTAGTTCCACGCTTTGAAAATGTCTACTCACAACCTTTGTTTCATTTCTTGCATCCAGAAAGGTAGATTTACACCCTTCCATAATAATTAGTGAAACACGGCATTAAGCGCGTGCCCGGGAAAACAAGCGAGACTTAATATTCCGCCGGGTTTTGAAAGGATTATAAAGAAAGCCAGCGTAGGGAAAGGCGCAAAAACATAGTGCGGCGTCCGCATACAAATTAGACAAGAGAAAAACAAAGGACATTTGTCGCAAGACCTGACCACCCCTTTGGGGCTAATTGTGATTATCGTGGTGGGAAAAGGGAATTTAATTTTCCCTGCAAACCTCATTAAGTTCAACTTTGGTTTGCGCGGTCTACTTTAATAAAGTCTGTCAGATATCTTTTCCGCAACCTTATACGCATTCGGTGCTAAAGTTTAGGTTTATGAAAGGTCGTAAAATGTGTATTTTTGAAATATCTTTTCCATTTTCATGCAATATGTTTGGGGAATGTTTCGTGGTTGAATTAACTTTTAATTTCTTAGTTTGTTGTGATACTGGTCGTGATATTGGTTTTAAGTTAAAGAATTTGGGTGAACATTTTCCATGACTAATTAATAAAACACAAATGTTAGGGCAATTTAGGATCTAAAATCCTCGTATTCTTGTGGTAGGAAACTTATATCATGGTAATATTAAAATGGAACTATCAACGATTGATTGAAATAATTCCATGTAAAATATATCATGAAAGTAAAATACATACTTATGAACACGTAATTAAGAAATTACAGAAACTATATAAAAAGACGTTTCTGTGTTACTAAATTTGATTTATTTTTATGTAACCAGCGTAGGAGCTGTCAGTGCGTCTGTTGGGTTGCTATTAAAACTATTTAGTTAACCAAATATCAATTAAATTACTTTAAATTAAAAGTAAATTGAAATACCTAGTTGCTTTAAAAAATTGGTTTAATAAAAACAATTAAGATACTTAAAAATAAAATATAATACAATTTTGATAGTTCCACTATCTCGTGTTTCACTTAATAAACATACTTCCGTGATTCACCATAAATAACGAAAGATCTAGACAAAGTAGCTTCTAACTACATTTACTGGTATATTCTAGATTCTAGTTTATAGTATTTGTAACAAATTTAAGTAATTACAATCTACCATCAATTCTATGTTTATATTCGGAGGGTTTCACTTAAATGTAAACAGGTCCAATTCAAACTTCAATATACATTTACTAGTGTAATGTTTGATTGGAAACCTATTATTGACGTTAAAGCAACAAAGCGCAAAACTTTAATATGTATCATTTAACGATGGAAACTAATTTGGGAGCTTTCCCAATTACATCCTGTAGATTAATGACATGTTATTGTGTAGAGCACTTCTTTGTATTTACGTTAACAAACAAGGAAAAAGTCATACGAGATTTTGCTCTAGTGTTTATTAAAAATATAAATAATGTTTCGTTGAAGTAACAAAATAAACTATTTAAAATTACTCTTTTTCTTAAATACTCTAAAATGTTTCAAGAATGCTAAAATTGTGTGAGCTAAAGAGAGATAACATTTCATATTGGGTTCAATCATTTTAAAACATCGCAAACCTTATGGCGTTGAAATCTTATAGTGATTTACAACAAAGTACAGTAATGTTGTGACAGATAATACATTACAACTGTTATGTGTCTTATTCATTTATTTATTCCAACGGTAAGATCACCAATTTAATTCTTGATTATATCTTGAGGGTATCTTGACTGTATGGCTTTTCTATTAGTAAACATATTACAGATTGGGGTTCACAACACTTGTATAGTATACGTCGATTAAAAAAAAAATCAAAGACACAGCTATAAGGAAATAACTGTCTACCAGCTAGAGAACATTTTGGATTAAATCCCCATACCCTCCTCAAAGTTGAAATAAATTATATTGTTGCTTTCAGCATATGGACATTTCCAATAGAAAAAATCCTTATCCAAAAGATCGCAACCGTTTTTTCTATAGAGGGAGGACCTCATTAAATATAAACTGCACTAAAACACAACACTGACAAACATCAATCTCAAAATATACTTTAAAAAGTCAAATTACCTGCACAATTCGCACACTGAGTCCCGTGTCCTTGGCTAGTCCTTCCCGCACTTTGCGGCAAGGCTTGGGACTGACTTCGAAGGATGCTTTGAAGGCTCGCCTCTGCTGCGTTGTCAGAATGGTTCTCGGCCTCTTGGGTCCGCGTCGTCCGTCCTGGCTCCGTGCTGAAGGCATCAGCTCGTCACACGGGTACTCGCCCATGGCTGGGCACAGAGGTGTTGTTAGTGACTAGAGGTGGAGGTTTAAGACAAAAAGAGGTACGACCAAAATTCGAAGAACACGCTCTAACGTGCCTCCAAGTGAAAATGGGGCGGAATAGTTGATATTGTTCAGTTGATATTTCTTCCTTCGTTAGATCACATACAATTGTATGTTTAAGGAAGAATAAACAGGCAAATGTTAAGAATAAATATGATGGGAATACTTTAATGACAATAACACCTTAGAACAGTGGAGAGGGATGCTACAACTCAAAGGAATCAGTTAAAGCATAGAAGTCTATGATTGAGGATTCATTCTTCGTTCTTTCTCAGCATATATAACCTTGGTTCAATTGATATGGTCTAAAAAAAAACTATCCTTAGGTAAATATTATCCAACTGCTTATACTGTGGTTGATTTTCTCAAGGTAATTTTTTGAGCGTCAAATGGATATAGATTATTATAATTTAGTATTTGTTGGGTAACACTTTAATTATTGTAAAATTGTATAGCCAGAGAAAAGTAAGAATGGCATTTCCCATAGTGAAGAAAGAAGAAAAGAGGAAAAGTGAGTAGTATTGAGCAACAAAGGACTCGACCACCCTGTGACACAACCATCGCTTAAGAGGGTTTTTTGTATTTTAAATACAACCAAAAACGTACAAGGAAATAAAAGATAACATTTCAATACCTTGCGAATATCCTTGCATCATCTCCACCTCCTTCTCGTAGTCTGGTCTGCAGAACAGCTGGCCTTGTTTGACCACGAACTGGTCGCCTTTCTGGAGTCTCACGCCGCAGACGACGCAAACAAAGCATCTCAGATGGAACACGGAGTCGAGCGCTCGCATCACCAACTCGTCCGGACCGATGCGTTCTGAACAACCCAGGCACTTCTTTACGTAGATCCTAGGGAGAAGCAAAACAAAAGCTAGAAACTGCCAACGGATAACTTTATAGTGGAAGGTAGCCAGAGTGTGTGATCCACTGAATCCTCACACAAATCCACCAAGTTCTCTTTAAGTCTGAGACGTGTTCCTACAGAAGATGTTTTTAGATCAAGCAAGATGTGGTATTTCTGCACCAGTATGATTTTATTTTAGAGAGATTACTTACATAGAGAATCTACCCTCCTAAGAAACATATCGTTTTGTCTTGAAAATACTGAGAAAGACTGTTTAAAGTGGCTCCAAACAGCTACCCAACACAAAAAGTGCACAGAAATCGCATTGGCGATTGGTGGCATATGAACAAGGTATTTAAGGCTGTACTTACTATCAAGTATACTTGCATATTTCAAATAAGTCTTTGTTATTATTTATCAACCGAGCTGTTCTTATTTCTTTTGCTTCCACTGAATAAATAATGTACAGCCACCAGATGAAAGGTAGGTTAAATTACCGGTATCTTTCGTAGAGATTAAATGTTCAGAGAAATAAGGATTCTAGGTATGGGCATCTTCCTGCCTTTGGAAGAAGGGATTCAAAGGAATACGGAAAACCGTATAGAGTCTGTGAGATAAAGGTTGTCATTCTCAACCGATTCTTTTCCCTACTGGACAAGCAAGAAGATTTTCAACGCCTTTCAGAGCTCTGACCAAACCAGTTGCTATAGGTTTTGTTTTAATATTCAACAAGTGGAACGTAAGAGGCGTAACAGAAGCTGCACTGGATATTCAAAAGATCTACCATCATTATTTCTACCTCAGACTACTTTACCCACTATTGTAAAACAACATAACTAGGGTGTGGCTGGAGGATATCCCTAGCTTCCAAGCAGTAGCTTTATCTAACACCTGTTGTTATCAGTGTTGTTGGCTCTGCTATCAACGCGGAGTGGAATCACGATTTCCGAAACCCTGATAACACATGCACCCTACCGTTGCGACATCGTCTGATAGGCCTACAACACTTGAACCACTTGACGTACGACAATATTATGGGAGAGTGAGCTGTAGCAAATTCCCTACACGGGTCTCTGCTAGATTTATCTTTTTTTGAAATAATGTATCGAATAGTTCTACTGTTTCGAATATTGCAAGATCGTTGCAAGAGATTTTCAAATCTTGATTCCACAAGTCATTTTATTATTGAGCTACATATTAAAATTCATGTTACACTGAAATTTTTATCCATGTATGTTTTCGTACGTTTCGTTTTTATGTTTGTCTTGAGCGTATTTTAATTGTGTGTTTACGAAGTTGTAAGCTTTGAAAATGTTGTTGTCACAATGAAACATATAAGCTGATTAACCTGATTATTGTTGTACTATTTAGCATAGGTTAAGTAAACCCTGTTTATATCCCACAAATTAGCTAGACAATACAATACAATACGACACAATTTAATACAATACAATGCAGTACAACGTAAACCTACTAAGGGTTGAAATATTTCGTATCAAAGTGAAAAAAGTTAATCAATAAAAGGTTACAGTACCTGCAGACTGCCTTGTGGGTTTTGTTAATCCAGTAGGATTACGTACGTTTCGGCAAATATATTGCCATCATCAGATCCAGAACTCGAAGCTTAAAATCTTGATTCTTCGACACACATGGTCACGTCAGAGTTTAAAATCGAACACATACACAAAACGAACATTAAATACATGTAGGCCTACTATTAAAACACCGAACAGCATATTATATGATGCAAGCATCTCTCTTGCCGAGTCTCGACCAGGTACTGTAACCTTTTATTGATTAGCTAACGTGGTTTAGAAAAACAACTACATTATGAAAAAAAGTTGTGCTCTATGACCAAAATCCAGCAGTATGGTATAGTGGTAAAGCGCAGGGCTTCAGTGCATGAGGTTCTGGGTTCAAATCACGCCAATCACCGATGGATTTTATCTATCTGATAATGCCGCAACCCAATATGCCTAGGCTGAAGTTATGTGAAAAAACCCACGATAGTAATGATAAGAATTTAAACTATTTCTGAGTTAGATTCCCAACATGGAATTTAGCAAGACTTTAATCCCCTCTTACCCCCCATTTAACACAGTGACGCCCGGTGTATAAGGGAACACATATTTATATACATTTATATCTATATCGCCCCGACGGTCGCGCGCCGCGGTTTACCGCCAGACGCTGGTCACGTGACCTCACGCCTCCCGCCATTATTGCGGACATTATTCAATCCCTTAAATGTCTCGCACACGTCGCTCGCACCGTTTAATTAGTTTATTATTCATTCCGGTTTGTACTGTGGCTTCATTAAGTAAATAGTAGTGACTGTGAAATATGTCGCCGTCGTCGATGCTTTAGTTTGAATTTCATCGCTTTGTAGAGCTCTGTGTGCGAAAGGGGTGTTATTGTGAGCGTGAGAATGGGGATTGAACTAGTGTCGTGACGTTCAATTGTTGCATATAAGGTTCGCTCTAATTTCTTTGTAATGTTGGTTTTTTTACTTTCTCCCCCTATACCATAGTATATGGAGAAAGTATTGTTTTCGTCAAAATTTTCGAGTTTGAGTTTTGAGTGGATATATTCGTTTTGGGTCCCCCTGGACCCAAAAAAGTGGTTTTCGAAGTGATGTCTGTGTGTGTGTGTGTGTGTGTGTGTGTCTGTGTGTCTGGATGTGTACAGAGCTAGGGACTACACCTGTGGTCCGATTTCAATGAAATTTGGTGTGTAGGTTCTAATCCATGCTATCTCCAGGCGTTTTTTTCATTTTTTTGAAATTTTGATTTTTTATGGGGATTTTCCCATAAAAACCCATAAAAAACTGGTAAAATCGGATTTTCTCAAAAATGGCCCGAACGATTTTGATAAAAATTTAGTATGTTGTAGCCCTTTAAAGTCTGAACAAAATGGTACAAATCCCATTTCTGTAAAAATTATGGTTCAAAAGTTATGGTAAATTATGTTATTTTCCCATAAAAACCCCATAAAATAACAAAAAATAGGATTTTAGACAAAAATCCGGTTTTGATTTAACAGAGTATGTTATGATCCTTTCAATTTTGATAGTTTTCGTCATTTTTTAGAAAATGTTATTTTTAATGGGGATTTTCCCATAAAACCCCATAAAAAACTGGAAAAATAGGATTTTCTCAAAAATGGCCTGAACGATTTTGATAAAAATTTAGTATGTTATAGTCCTTTATGTTCTGAACAAAATGGTATAAATCCCATTTCTGTAAAAATTACGGTTCAAAAGTTATGGTGGATTATGCTATTTTCCCATAAAAATCCCCATAAAATAACGGAAAATCGGATTTTCCCAAAATTGGCTAGAGCAATTTTGATAACAATTTAGTATGTTATAGTCCTTTAAATTCTGAAGAAAATTTTACAAATCCCATTTCCGTATATTTACACTTACCGCTTACACATGAGAAAGGTTGTTGACAATCTTATGGGAGAAAGTATGTGTCAGAATGCTGATACCGTTTATTCATTCTGTCTGCCATGTGTACAGGTGTAAACAGGTTTTTTTTTATATTTTCAACACGAACTTTTAGCACATATGAAACATACTGTTGGTTAGAATACACCTTTATAGACAAAAAGAATTAAGTTTATTCTATTTGTGTATTATTTTACGTAGCGTTTCAAAATAAATAAAAAAAAAACAAAGCAGTCCCAATTAAGAGTGCTATCTTTTGTAAAATTTCTTTGTGAATAGTAAATACCTCCCTAAAAATCTGTTAACACTTTTGATGTTAGATGAGGTTTGTTCCGAGTCCGTTGACGTATGGAATCCAAAGTTAGAAGTGTAGTTCACTCCTTTACAAACAGTGTTAATTCTGTACAAATAACTTCCATCAATTCTATTTTGCATCAACGATTATTAAACAAGAGTAAAATACTTATTCCAAAATGCACGGCAAACGCTCTATGTTTCCTATCCTGAGGTTGGTATTCCTTTTCAAACCAGTCAGAACAGGAGAGTACCGTATTATATATAAATTGTGGTAAAAATGAACGAATTAATTTTGAAAACCATTTTTTCTAATTATTATCTTTCAATTGTATATGCATTGTAAACATGTAACATTTCTTCCAATATGCAACTAAGGTGTTGTTTTATTTATTAATTTTTACTCCTCATCTCTCAATTTATCATACACTCCAAGACACTTCTTCATCGACACCTCAGACGTGTCGTAAGTTGTGTCAGTTTTTAAGTTCGCTAAGCTAACATATAATTTAATTAAAGCGGACAGGCAGGGGAGGGGTGAGGGGAGGGGAGGGTTGCTAGAAGGCCGTGGATATTGCTGGGGTTGCAGTGATATTGGGACAGAGTCAACATCCCTGCATCGATCCGGCCACGGCTAGAATCCCGCTGTGTTGTGCTGGACCACCAGTGCACGAGTAGGAGTACAAAATATATTTTCATCACACTTGGATTGACTACAAACTTACAAATACTTTCTCCCAATAGTCTGGCATTAAAGTTACACAACCTACAACTTTTTGAAAAATATTAGTAAGCACTGGGGTTTTATGGGGGAACAACAAAAATTGTGACAACTACTACTATGAAAGTAACAAAAACTGAGAGAGTTTATACTTGTCTGTACTTGATGACTGGCTCATTCAATGTTCCTTTGACTAAATAAATGGGATGTCTACTTTAGTACCCAAATTTCAAAGCTCAAATACAGTACTGTGAAAAATATATACTTGTTTACTTGAGACGCCCTTTGAGAAAAAAAAGTGGACGTCCAATGTTTCGGGATGGAATTTTTGGAAATCAACAAAAAAACTTCAAGTCAACCATACACTCACAATTTTTAGATTTCATCTAATAAATTTACTGTACTCACAATTATATCAATTTAACAACCTAATTATTCTCCAACACAGTTGATTCGTTTTGAAAAAAGAGAGTGTATTAGGTAGACAATTTATTTTGTGATTGTTGAAATGGATCGTTATTTTCTGAAGAACTGATCAAACTATTCTAGGCTATCAATCAATTATTTAAGATGGAGACGCCACTATGTGCGTATTTTAACCCAAAAATATGAGTGAATGATGAGTGTTGGATGAGTGGCGCGATCTTGTAGTCTTGTTAGTGACTAAGGCCGACATATTCCTTAGACACAGCTGTTAGTTAATAGCTCATACAGCTAATGGCAACTAAGGGACCTACAGTTAATAGTGGAATCCGAACCACATTTTTCCTTGTAATTTACGAATTGGTCTAATTATCAGGATAGTACTGCGGATAGTCACTCGTGCGGACGTAGGCTAGAGGCAAGCGTGCTATTATGTAAAGGGGAACAAAATGTGTGAAAGTTTCATTGCTTTATTACATCCAAGTTTGTTATACTTGATCCAACATAGCTTACGGTATCTTTTGGGTAATCTATAGAAATGTCTCTCGTCAACGCGTCCATCGATCACAATCTGTTAGCGTTTCTTCTCAATTACTACAGCCTTTTACTAACATTGACGGATTGCTATCTGACAAGATTTCTCTATAGAAACAATGTTCTTAAAATCTTCCTAAGCTTGCTACGAGATGGGTTTGTATCTCATCTACGATCTAATATTGAATACCGAGACTAGTCATGAATTAAGCAGAAGATTTCATGCATAAATAACACAAAAGTCTCATATTATGTATGGTGGATAAGTGATCGTAATAGGTGTAAAATAACATACATTCGCTGGGTAGTTAAGTGGTTATAGTGGTCGCCTAACAATCAAAATGTCCCCGTTTCAATCCTAAGAAAAGGCAGTAGCTTTTTGATGGTTCGAAACTAGACATAACTGTTGTAACTGCTGGTTTGGAAGTTTTTTGACAGTTTTATTATTAAATTTTAATTATAAAATGTTTACTTTCTGGTCAGAGACGTCATTTGTTTGTGTTTATGATCCAGTGTTTCTGTTCTGCTATTCGTGGAAAGATTTTATCTAGTTTAAGGGTAAGATGTAACCAGAATTTTTATTCAAAGACAACACAGTGTATTATCAATTCGCAATAGTTTACTATTGAAATAATATTTCCTTGGTGTAAAACACCTGCATTTATGCGATCTTGTGTTGTAGCTGAGTTGCTACCGGTTTCAACTCACATTGGAGTCATCTTCAGGCAGTTATAAGATGTCTTCTCGCTTCATTCGAAGGTCGTCAATGGATAATAAATAAATAAACAAAACACAAACACGTACACGGACATAAAAAAGAACATTTAAAGCTGTAAAATACTGAAAACGGTAAGCCTACGGGACACGACACGACGTGATCGGGCGAAAGTTATGTCTAGACTCTTTCGCCCGATCACGTCGTGTCGTGTCCCGTAGGCCTACCGTTTTCAGTATTTTACAGCTTTAAATGTTCTTTTTTATGTCCGTGTACGTGTTTGTGTTTTGTTTATTTATTTATTATCCATTGACGACCTTCGAATGAAGCGAGAAGACATCTTATAACTGTCTGAAGATGACTCCAATGTGAGTTGAAACCGGTAGCAACTCAGCTACAACACAAGATCGCATAAATGCAGGTATTTTACACCAATTTATAGTATTTAAATGCGATCAGGAGGCTAAAATTCAATGTAATGAAAATATTTCCTTATTTGGTTTCCCACAGCATTATTTTTTAATGGTTTTAAAAAAACGAAGCAGTTTAAAAATTAGTTGTAATTTTAATTAGAACTGATTTGAAGTGTGTGAATGACAAAAATTAAGCGGCATTTACAGGACAAGTGTCTCAATTGAACAAATAAAAAAATCCAAACCAACCAGAGCTTCTTATATAAATACGAATAAAAATAAACTTCAAGACAGAGTATCTACAGCCAACTACACCCTTTACCATTTCTGTCACATCTCAAACAACCTACAAAACCATCTAGCAGTTTGACCCACAACCACTAACCGCACGTAGGTCCAATGATGCTGTTCAACGCACCACTACAACCGTACAAGGGTTGTAATGGCCAATTGATTGATATTAATGCCGAGAAATAATATATTAGCATAACGATAGCGGGGGGGGGGGAGAGAGAGAGGGGGGAGACAAAACGTCGCAAGGGTCGCGTGTCACGTGCGACAATCAGGTGGCGCACAATATGTCGCACCCCTCCCGCGGTTTATTTTATTGGAAATAGAAGAATGGGAGGGACGGCTTACTTTGATGTCGCTGACTCGACACTGGGGTAGGTTTTGTTTCAGTGTTTTACAGGACGAGTTGGAGCGTTTGGTAACGTAAGTTCGAGTGAAAGTGAATGAGTATTTGATATCGTGCCTTTTGTAAAGTTAAGCAGGTCGTAGAGGTTTGTAGTGATTAAAAGTGGCAGTTTCTATAAAGAGAGAAAGCTACAATACGGTTAATCATAATTTTTGACTATGAGGTCAAAAACTGTAAAATTATTGGTAAACCATTATTTAGGACTTTCATTTGAAACCTAAGTGATTACAGGTACAGAATACTTTTTTTTAGAATTTAGGACATCGTTTAATCTAGAGTCAGTAGTGTAGAAGAAAGATGTCTAAATATTTCTTCTTGTTAGGTTATTATGTTTTTATAGTCGTTGCAGGTATGTAATTTTATTTTTGTCGAGCTATATTGCGTTGGTGTTAGGTTAGGTTTGATTAGGTTAGGGATCGGAGGTATGAATGTAGCTATAATAGGTTTCTTCTAACTTAGGGTAGGTTGGAGTCTAGTTTAAGCTGATAAGGTTTGAATTGCCGTTTTATATCATTCTGTAATTCATGTTAGACTGTATTTTTCTGTATAAAACACCAATTTCATCTCCCGGATCACCCGCAACCCGAAAATATTATATTTCCATTCACCAGCAGGAACTGCATACAGGTGTGTACCGTTTTCCTCCACAAGGCCGGGCTCAAACTTAACTAATCACACAATTTCACCGAATATACCACAACCTGGTAAGTCATATCTACTAAAATAGAGCTCACTCGTATAAAAAAAAAAAATACCAACACAACAATATTCTTCAAAGTACACCAATAGACTAACCAACACAAGTAGACTTCTCATCCCATGTCATTGAAAATGAAATGAAATGAAATGAAAAATGATTTATTTAGTTCTAGTTCATGTCCGATGACAATAAATTATCGCTAGTGTCAATGTAATTTTGTTTATATTATTGTGGGGTTAATTTAATTAGTTGTGCTTTACTGTTTGGTTATATAACTAGGAGACAAGTTATTGTTTATGATTAGATCATTTTTTTTATCAAACGAGGTTTTAATTGACTGAAGTAACAAGAAACGAATTGAAAACAAAACACCACATCCACAGTACACCGGACAGAACTAACAATTAAATTGGCTTCAGCTGTTTAATAAGGATGAGAAATCTATTATAGCACACCCTTCACAGTACACAAAATGCACTCCCCCATGCCGTAACTAGCGGCCAATCACAACACCTGTGCGCTGACAGTCAATTGTCAACTTGTCCGCCACAGGCTGCATATTGTGTCCGGCGCTACACGATGTCCACTCCATTACAACACGGACATGATCCCCGTGACAAGCCTGCCGATCACTTTTATTGCTGTCCAGTGCGAATCACCGCAGCTTCGGACGAAATTACCAATTGCCAAGTAATTACGGGTGATTTGACGTCCACATGTCACTTGTAGTGTGAAATCTAGTTTGAGTGTAAAATTGGTGTTGTGGAAATGAAGTGTTGATTAAAACGTTTGTTGCACGTATTTGTGTGTTTTTGATGTATTATGGAAAATGGTTAGTAGTGCAACGGACTACGATCCATGATAGCGTAGTCGTGAGTTCGAGTTGCGGGTTCTCCAATACTATTTGTCTGTACAGTTCAAGGCTGCATCAGTATCAGTGATTCAAAAGTCACAGTGATTGAAACCTTGATTTGCTCGACATGCTCCACACATGTCAGAAGCCAGTGTGGATGGGAAAGTTAGAAGTTAACATAGCTATTAAAACAGAAAAAGTAAATCATTTGTGTTTCCTCAAAATATTTGAGGTCCTAATTGAACTGTATTTGATCACCAATAGAGAAATAGAATGAAAAACTTAAGTCGTTTTCAGAAAAGTAATTAAGTTATTTTAGATACAAAACAATATCTTCACAATCCTAAACTATGTTGGCATGGATATATATCGTAAGAAGGGTAAGTGCTTATCAAAAGATAACCCAACTTCAAACCATGCGAATATGAATAATATGATGGAAAACTGCTCACCTGTCATAATCGTGCCGACAATAAAGCTTAGCGTCTCTAGTGAAACAAGTATGAGAAAGACGACATCCGCAGACACAACAGATGAGACATCTCTCGTGGTACAGGTTGTCAGTTACTCTCATGATGTAGCGGTCACAGATGATACAACAGCAGGCTCCACACACCGGTCCTCCTACTGTCTTGAGCTCTGACATCACCTAGTACAAGATACAACATTGTACATGTCACATCTCTCGTGGTACAAGTTGTCAGTGACTCTCATGATGTAGCGGTCACAGATGATACAACAGCAGGCTCCACACACCGGTCCTCCTACTGTCTTGAGCTCTGACATCACCTGGTACAAGATGCAACATTGTACATGTCACATCTCTCGTGGTACAAGTTGTCAGTGACTCTCATGATGTAGCGGTCACAGATGATACAACAGCAGGCTCCACACACCGGTCCTCCTACTGTCTTGAGCTCTGACATCACCTGGTACAAGATGCAACATTGTACATGTCACATCTCTCGTGGTACAAGTTGTCAGTGACTCTCATGATGTAGCGGTCACAGATGATACAACAGCAGGCTCCACACACCGGTCCTCCTACTGTCTTGAGCTCTGACATCACCTAGTACAAGATACAACATTGTACATGTCACATCTCTCGTGGTACAAGTTGTCAGTGACTCTCATGATGTAGCGGTCACAGATGATACAACAGCAGGCTCCACACACCGGTCCTCCTACTGTCTTGAGCTCTGACATCACCTGGTACAAGATGCAACATTGTACATGTCACATCTCTCGTGGTACAAGTTGTCAGTGACTCTCATGATGTAGCGGTCACAGATGATACAACAGCAGGCTCCACACACCGGTCCTCCTACTGTCTTGAGCTCTGACATCACCTGGTACAAGATGCAACATTGTACATGTCACATCTCTCGTGGTACAAGTTGTCAGTGACTCTCATGATGTAGCGGTCACAGATGATACAACAGCAGGCTCCACACACCGGTCCTCCTACTGTCTTGAGCTCTGACATCACCTAGTACAAGATACAACATTGTACATGTCACATCTCTCGTGGTACAAGTTGTCAGTGACTCTCATGATGTAGCGGTCACAGATGATACAACAGCAGGCTCCACACACCGGTCCTCCTACTGTCTTGAGCTCTGATATCACCTGGTACAAGATACACCATTGTACATGTCACATCTCTCGTGGTACAAGTTGTCAGTGACTCTCATGATGTAGCGGTCACAAATGATACAACAGCAAGGCAAATGCTGTCTTCCGTTATCTACAAGGTCTTTTCCTAAATGTTTAAGTCACTTAAGAGATGCAATATTTTTTTTACAATCATCTTAGCTAAAAGTACAAAAATGTTTACTCACAAGACACTAAATACATATAAAAGATGGTATAAGTGGTGATCGATTTCGATTGTACACACTCCAATCATCATCAGACCCAATCTTAGTTCCTATAGAAACTTATTGGCCGGTACTTCCGTGAGCCAATAACAGCACAGAAATTAGAGCCAATAAAGGTCTTGTCAGTCGCCTATCGGGTCTGATGATGATTGGAGTGTCCAATAAAAATCGTTTACCATTTATCATCTATATCTGTATTTACTACAATATAAAATAGGTTACGTACCTTTACGTCGTCAATCCTAGGTTAGTCTTTTTAGCAGCGACTAGTTTCGAAACTGACGTTTCATTTTCAAGCCTTGTCAAACATAAAATTACTTGAACATAATGTCGTCGTCAAGTTATGTTATATGTTCAAGTAATTTTATGTTTGACAAGGCTTGAAAATGAAACGTCAGTTTCGAAACTAGTCGCTGCTAAAAAGACTAACCTAGGATTGACGACGTAAAGGTACGTAACCTATTTTATATTGTCTTAAATCAATCCTGGAGGCAATGCTGAATAAACTGTATTTACTGTCTTGTGAGTAAACAGTATAAGTGTGAATATATTATTACAAGTACCTATTATTTGACATAGTTTGTACTTTCAGGTAACTTAATAACACGTACGATGATCAAGAAGTAACAGGACATACTGAATTTTCTATTGACATACTGTACATGAATTGTTTTTAATGTTTACAGATGATAATAGTAAACTTGACTTAAATGTATGTTCAACTACTTCGCAACCTGTTAACCTGTCATCTTTAACTACTCTTATGAGAATCAATCCTGTGTAAATATTTGCAAATCCCCCGCCTCGGGGCGAGCAGCAGGGGTCGCGTTATTGACTTGTCTATCCAAGGAGGCCCGACATATGAAAGACAGACGGGGGTGGCACGGGGAGAATATGCAAATACCCAGCGTTGTGCCGCTGTCGGCCAGCGGGGCGGGATTAGCGGGGCAGCACTAATCTTTTGATTCCTATTCCGAATTTCATTCCGTAGTTTAATGGTAAGTTGATGACTTCTGTGATCGCATTAAAATCGCCAATCGCATTAGAAGGGTTGATCAGAATGTACGGTCACGCGCTGCGCAGGTGGCGGACATGTGTTGCTGTTACTTAGTGGTAAAGAGTTAAACGTGGTAATTGTGTTATTGTACAGAAAGCAAAGTGATATACAGTTTTGCAATAGTAAAGCTAAATAGGAGTAATATAGAAAAATTAAGTCATTAAATAATAGGATTAAGAATTGGTGAAACATGTTTAAAGAAGATATATTGTTATCACTTTTTTGCTATAGCGTTCGTCACATCGAAAAATCGGCGCATAAAATATACTATGGAATGGTTTAGATTCGCTTCATCATACGTTTTCTACAAGCACATGTGAATTTGTTGTATTCTCCCCTTAATTACTTAAATAAATAGGTTAAGTTTTCTTTATTTTTGACTGGCACAAACTATGTAAAAAAATGAATCCTTGCTCTTGTACCTCAGTTTTAATCCTGCAACATTAGAAAACGAAGTTTGTCTAGCGTCTAGTTTGATAACACTAGATAATTCCACACAAACCTTGTTGTACATGTTTTTCACTTACCAGAAGATGTTTAGTGTTGCCGATAGTTATCACAGAGCTTGACAATCCGGCTCAGCTCCAGTGGAGAAGCTGTAGTCCGTCTGAGGATACGGGCTGAATAACTCGCAACCCTGTAACATTCATATAATATGTATAGGAAATAGTTACACGCCTAAAATTGAACTATGTTTAACATATGCTTCAACTAAAGCATTAAGGTATATTGGATGAAAAACACCAAGACAGGCCCAGATGTTACAAAAGGACGAAAAGTCTACTTGCATCATCCAACGTAAATGTTGATTGGTATCAAGTCTGAATGAAAACGCAAGGATATTTTGAGCTATGCTCTATTCTTCTTCCCCGGTTGAACTTAATCAGCTGAAATCGGATTGAAACAGTTTCTTGCTTAAATTAGTTTAAAGACCCCGTCTAGTCTAAATAAGTTGTATTGTCTGAAACTACTACAATAGTTTCGTTCCTAATCGTACTTTACAACTAATTATTGCCTGGTCAAACCAGTTTCAAGACCTATCGGAAAATCATATTTAACATAACCACAGTCCGAAAATCTAATGGTTTAATAGGGATCTTAAATGGGGTTCCGTTAAGGATATAAAGGGTGAATAAAGATTTTGAGTTTATAAATAAGAATAACAGTTACAGTATTAGCTGACAGTAGTTAATGGTATCACACACATTTTACATACAATTCAAACTACATTCACCCTTTATTCAGCTACTCAGTACAGGGAATTGATTAATAATTACAAACGTTAAATTCTCTACAATGTCGACATCCTACTACTTAACACACACTTCAAACACAACATTCACTTTACGCACCTACTCAGTACAGGGAATTGGTTAATTACTAATGTAACATGAAAGTAATTAATTACCAGACAATAGATGGGAGAGGCCGCCATATCGTCAGATGACAAGAGACTAACGCTCCTGTCTCTCTCTTATCTCTTATCTATTAGCTACCGGCCACTGATATGATAATCCGTACATCACTCGTGTCTGTGTGTGTGTGTGTGTGTGATAGCGGTGTCTTTACGTGGGCCAATCGTCTTTGCGCAACACTTAATCGTTAGGCGCCAAGTACAGCAGTTTTTTTTAATTTTAGTATTTGAACTGTTAAAGGTGATACAGAACTTCAAATCCCCAATTGGTATACCTTGCGTTCAATATGTTTTACACGTGCAATTGTTGATCAAATGAAAACTGTTGAAAGTTGACAGTATATTAAATTATACACATTCGCAACGTATGAACCACATATATGAGTATGAAAATAGCAACCATGTGAATATATTGTGGACCTATAATCTAATTGTTTTTATTATTAGTTGCATAAATCGGCCATACAGGATGGTAAGTCGTATTATTTATATAAATTTGAAGGTTTTGCCTTCTTAATTTTCTTGGTGAAGTCTTTAAGGTTTATCTCAGAACCTCAATCTCCCATAGGACATAGAGTCCAGTAACAATATCGAAATGGGGATATGCCTAAAGTACTCCCAGATACATGTATTATTATCGTTATTTATTAAGATATATTTAGGCTAACTATCATTAGCCATTGATAGGATAATGTTGGAATCGACGTGGCAATTCTTTGAAGTTGACGTGAATGAAAGCGTCTATTCAAAGTGCTATGATACGGACAAACATTTAGAACTTGAACTATGGCTTCTAGGGTCCCTAAAAATACAGCAATCCCGAACCTGTATCTCACTTAAAAGACTACGGTAGTATCTACTTTTAATACGTGAGCGTGAAAGATATAAACTACTTCCCTAATTCTTTCCTGCTGGGAAATTCTTGAAAACCCTGCGAGAAACAAACCTCCTGTAGAGACAAATAACACTTCGCCACAAAGGTTTAAATCACACTCGAAGGTGCGAATATCGAATATCGCATTCCGCAACACCTGCAACTGATGGTTATATTCCCGACTCATCTCTGTACTTATCGATTACACATCCACACGGTTATGGCTGATTCACGGCGAGCAATATCCACAGAAAAATGTGTTAATTCCGTCGAAACAGAAATATGAGAGTCGCGAATGGAGGTTATCGTTTTCCAATGGCAATTAGACTCGACCACTCGCCCCTGTGTTATTGGCTTCTTGCGACACGCTGAGCTGCGAGGCGTTCCACAAATATTTTTAAAAGTCCGGATTTGAATTTTTTTGTTATTTGTGGTCGTGTTTCAGCTGAATTTATTCTATTTGTCTTGGCAATGAGCTGGTACTTAATTTCACTGACAATAATCAGCTTACATATTGATGTAAGATTTCTTATTACATTTACCATAAGGATTGTTATAAACTTTATTCTGTGTAATAAACTTTTGTGCAAGGTTTATGCTAATTTTGAACAGCGTTACCTGCGATAGACTAGTGGATCATTTTTTATGATAGTGTGGCTAAAATCAGAAACACCATAACACAATCCCTCAAATTACTAACAAATCTATATGTTTAATCTTATCCAACAAGAGTGAAACACCCTCCTCTACTCGTCTACAGCCCGCGTGCAGATAACACTTAGTACAGGTGATGCAGATGATTTATAGCAGAGAATGTTGCAATAATTTATGCCTCCAGTGTAACGATGTCAAAGGCCTAATGCGGTACGTAGGCTAATGAACCTGTGGAAGTGTGAAATACATATCTCAAACCATCCCCCTTCTCCCCACCGTCAGCACACCTGCGTTAGATATTAACATGGAGTGCGAGAAGAGGTACCTGCTGGTAGTAGGTTTCAATTATAATTACCTTGATTTTACGTCAGTGTTGTTTTTATTTAAAGGTAAAATGGTAGATTTATATCTCAAATGATGAACAGGAGAATGTATAAAGTAAAATATTTTGTTACTGAAAAGTTTGTATACTGGAATGGTTACACACCATCTTAGGTAAACTTAACACCGAGTATTAGAAGCATCCATTTGAAAAAGTATCCTAAAATTGTGAGGCTGTATGACAACGAATTTTTTGTTAGTTCTTCAGTACAATTTTGATTATTTTAAAGTTTAAATACTGTGTACGTTGTGTGAACTATCAGTAACAAAAAGTTTGAAATTAAGTTATCAAAACAAACGTGTTATCAAACTCCTTTACAAAAACCATAACCTTTCAAATTCAATAAATAATTGATACGCTCATTAAATTACTCTGGAATTGTTTAGGTGAACACAGAGTTACGGTAACCTATTTAAATTAATGTTTTCTATTGTATTTATCTTGTTGCATGTAAGTCTTGTCTAATGTATTATTTTGTAAAATGGCGATTGCCGTCGAAATGAATAAATAAATAAATAAATGAAGTTTAAAAAGTTTAAAATGTCTAAATTATTATTGTATACCCCAGTTGCAATTAAATTCTAACGCACAATATAAGAAAACGTGTAGAACGAATGCATTTTTTATGAACAGCTGCGTTACCTTGTGCCTGAAAGTATACTCCTTCCTTAGCCTTATGCATTTCCTTCATAAGAATAAGACGAATCCTATGTCTTCCGTTCTAGTTTCACATGCAGTATCAACAATTCATTCTAAAGTTAGTTTAGTAAAATAGAATAGCAAAACCCATGAAGACTTTCTGGACCGAAACAGCAAGGACAGGAATACACCAGGAAGTACAGGCTATATCTGAGGGGTTTAAAGGTGTCAACAGCCCATACAGTTTGTCCCTTAGGGACCCCTGGGCACACGAGACCCTATATAACCTTCCCCTAACATATGACCTTTGTGTCACTACCCCCTGGCAACACAGGTACACAGGAAATTGCTTACTTCTGTAGACATGGAACTGACGCTAATATACCGTGGAGTGACTGAAATATCTTTAGACTTCTTTGATAATACGGGTATTTACAATATGTTCTAGTTTAGGGATCAAACCAGCAAAACGTAACTTCCAGCCACCAATTAGCGTATGTAAAACAGCTAAAAACATCATAGTGTGGTGAAAATATATTTTGTTAAGTTACCGTTAGACATGGGCTATGGATTTTGGATGTACTATTAATTGGAAAAAGTGCCATTTTCCATGTTTAATTTGTAGCCAGGTTAGAAAAAAAAAATATGTTCAGTTTAAGTTGTCTACTAATATAGTATTCTGTAAAGAAAAATAGTTTTATTTTATATAGGCTACCTCAAATTCCCAATTACAAATAACCAAATCGGTAGCTTATCGAGAACCAGTCTTCATCAACGATAAAAGTAAGATATATCTAACGTGAAATACAACTTTAATAGCAGATTGCATTACACGGTCATTCAATTAACTAGGCCTACAGTATGTTATCTTGGAGAAAAAAAATCAATAAATAGAAGCGGTTACTTTGGAATCCAAAGTTAACGGTAAATCCAAGCTTCAAGTGAGAAACAACTTAAATCTACTTATATAAAATTTTAGACATGGCGTTTACAGCATTGCCCAAATCTTGTGTCAATCTTGTTAATGATGGGAATACTAGCAATCCTATAAAAATATTCACGTTTTTAGTACCTAATATATAACTTCCAAAAACCAGTACATATTGTCTTAAAATTGAATTTTAAATCAATAAAAAAGTTTCAAATCCGGACTTTAAAATATTTGTGGAACGCCTCGCAGCTCAGCGTGTCGCAAGAAGCCAATAACACAGGGGCGAGTGGTCGAGTCTAATTGCCATTGGAAAACGATAACCTCCATTCGCGACTCTCATATTTCTGTTTCGACGGAATTAACACATTTTTCTGTGGATATTGCTCGCCGTGAATCAGCCATAACCGTGTGGATGTGTAATCGATAAGTACAGAGATGAGTCGGGAATATAACCATCAGTTGCAGGTGTTGCGGAATGCGATATGCGATATGCGATATTCGCACCTTCGAGTGTGATTTAAACCTTTGTGGCGAAGTGTTATTTGTCTCTACAGGAGGTTCGTTTCTTGCTGGGTTTTCAAGAATTTCCCAGCGGGAAAGTATTAGTGAAGTTCTTTCTTTCTAACAAATAGTGTTATGTGAAGTAGTTTTTATCGTAGTCTAGGTGAGATATAGGTTAAAGACTTGCTTTTTCGTTTTGAAGTCCCTAGATGCTATACAAATTAGTGTATCAAATTGTATGCATGTGTGATTGTAGGTAGATACAGTAACTCTTTTGAAAAATATAATACTCATAAAGTTTAACATGGTAAACTCCAGAGCCTCTTGGCGGAGCCCGAGGACAGTTCAAGAACTTGAATATACCTATTAAAGTACCCGCATAATCTACCTTTGTGGAAAATTTCAAACCTGTCATTCAGTATTTTTCACGTTACATACATCTAAAATTCCTCACTTATAATATTAGTAGGACAATACACGACGTAATGTATTTTTAACGTTACATTTAAAACCGAAAACAACAGAAGCAACGCAAAACAATGTTACAACAATTGTAAAATCATTAAGTGAAGATATTGCTACATCAATACATTATTGGCCCCCGCCCTGTTAATGACATGCTCTAGCTGCTAATAGTGCCACTATATTAACCCGCTCGTTTATGAACTGCCAATTATTTATGGCATCGATTACTAAAACATATTGGCAAATATTCGGCCACATTCGCAGCTAGTATTAAAGGGGGAGTAATGTGAGCGGTTAATTGATGGAAATGAGGTTTTTTGAAATATTAGAAATGTTACAATCGACTGAATTTATTCTTTTGGATATTTTTGGCTAATTAAACAATCTATCGTTGGTTGTTACGGTCATTTCGCCAATAATACAAATATTATGTGTTTTTACTTATAGGTTAAGGAGGAGTTATATACCAAACCTTGTTGCTATTTTAACTTAATTAATACCCGAAAAGTACCGAAATAAGTCAAATAACTATCAAAATACGTATCAACGTATGTATATCCTTAATTTATCGAGGAAATTGTGCCCACACAGTTTTATAGAAGAATAAAAAATAGTAAATTCCTGATTACATTATTAATTTATGTAGTATTATATACTTTC